GTCTTCGGGCGATGCAAAGGACTGAGTTGGCGATGGCACGCAAAATGGCGACAGTAACGTGTGGCTAGAGTCATCGGGAGGGGTTCGTACCTCGTCCGTGACCGGGGATACCGTCGACTGCGATGTCAGGGAGGTCGGACGATCGAGCTCTGAGCCTGCCGTCGAGCCATTCTCAGATCTCGCAAAAGGCCGGGGTCGGGATTCCCCGGTCGGGAAACTCCGATCTAGAGATCGTTTGGGACTCCAGCTCGGGGACTGGTTCAGTTCGATATGGTCATCATCTTGGGAAAGAGCATTCCGGAGTCCAGAGCTACGAGACTCAAATTTTTGTGGTGGGCGGTTCTTCACATCTCCCATCGACAGTGGCTCTTCCAGTGGAATTTGGTTACCAGAGTCCACAGAGACCTTCGGGTTGAAAGAAATTGAGGGTCGCCGAGTGTGGAGATAACTGTCGAGGGGGATCCCTGCACATCATCGGGCTTGTGCGGGAAGTTGTCGGCATCGTCTGCGTGATGCTGCTCACCGGGGCGAGGGACGGATATGGGAGGGGTCGCTGAGTGTAGATCACTTAACAAACTGCGGTCTTCATCAGTATCGTGGCGACGCGCATAATCATGAGATTGATTGGTGTGATCGCTCTCGATACCATCGCCCACTGTTGTCGCCTTCCTCCCAGCATTTTCATTCGCCCATTTGGGCTTGTTCCGCTCATGAAACTGCGTTTCAATCCTTAACCCTGCCAATCCACTTGCCAATCCGGCCCTCTCGCTATGTTCCATGCCCTAACGAAGAACACGATGCGGAAATTGTCGTCTTGTCAGCCAGTGATAGGCTCGCAGTAGGGTTATATAACCCCCTGCTTGGCTTTTTGATATGCTTCTCGATGGCTGTAGATGATGATGATTGTGGGGTGATAGCGTCAAAAGTGGGGACAGAACGTTTGATGTAGTGGTGATTTAAGGAAAAGTCGTAGTTGAGGAGGTTTTATAGTTGAATAAAAAAAAAAGTTATCGAGATGAAACACGGTGGGTACAAACAAAGGTAGTAAGAGAGGAATTGAAAGTGAGGTATTCGTCAAGTAGTCCAGTACTGAGAGGGGGAGAAAAACCGGGGAAACCCGGACGATGACGAGAATTGGAAATCACCTGACTTAAGGGCAACCCTGACCCTAATTTCCCTACATGGCCAAATATACAGCGGGAAATAGGGGCATAATAGGTATTTATTACTTTGATTGTTCTCCACAGTCTGGTGTAATTTGTATAGAGTGCCGAGGAGATATTATCTATACTCAACTGTCTAGGGAAAAAAATGTCCTATCTATTTATAATAGCATAGTAGACATATAAAGGCCTATATACCATTGAAGCTCCGACCAGTCGGCCATCATTGCGTGCCCGCACATGGTCTCAGGGGTCAAGCCATAGTTTTAACCGCGCGCAAGGGGCGCTTGTTTGGGAATACCTCCTTTTGGCTTTTGGAGATGTGAAAGGAGTTACCATTCAGACTCGACGTCGCCTTGGGAGACACCTCTTTGTCCCTTTTTTTCCCCTTCTCTTTTTATCCTTGTCGCTCTGGCAGTAATTTCTTTCTCCTTGTGTCGACCTCCGTGCTGGACCGAAGTGCAGACCAGCCCCCACCATTCTCATTCAAGGCACTGTCTCTCATTCAGACTAATTCACCAAATGCTCGCGACCCCCAGTCGACTTTTTTTTTAAACTGTCTAGCTTTCGTGTATTAATTGTCTACATGAAATTTGGAGGCTCGCGCATTGCTTTTGTCCCGCGCTTGTCTTCTGACTTCCATATTCCCGGGTCGCTAGTCACTCCTTGCGCTCGCGACTTGTTTCAATCCCATTGCTCTTGATACCACACTCATTTACACTGCAACATGACTAGGCCTCAGATGATCCGAGCTGGTAGGTCAAATGCTTCTGCGCGGGGGCAATTGCTTCAAAGTTGAAGGTGTTGACCGCCACCTCTAGATACCTTGGACCTTCAAGATCACGATACCCCTTCCGCCAAAGATCACACCAAACAACCCGAACATCCAGATCCTCTTGGGAGCGGCCGGCCTGCACCCCATCAAGAACTTTCTATCCGTCAGGCCGAACAAGATTCGCAAGCGGAGATAAAGCGCGGACCGGATCAAAATCACGAATACCGCGGTGACAAGGAGATATATCGAGAACTAGATGACGAAGAAGACGGTGAGGATGAAAATCACTACGGTCACGAAGATAGCGACCTGGCAGACGGCGAGAGCGATGATATGATGGACGATGATATGGACAAAATCTCCAGTTCGCCATCTATCGATGATGGTACGGATTCTCAAGGATTATAGGCATTAATCGGGCGTTGGCTGATGTTATACAGAGGATATCGATTTTGAGTTTGTATATGCCCTTCACAACTTTGTCGCAACGGTTGATGGGCAAGCAAATGCCGCAAAGGGCGATACTATGGTTCTTCTCGACGACAGCAACAGCTACTGGTGGCTTGTGCGCGTGGTGAAAGATGGCAGCATTGGTTATCTCCCTGCCGAACACATCGAAACACCAACCGAAAGGCTTGCCAGATTGAATAAACACAGAAACGTGGATCTGTCTGCGACTATGTTGGGCGACAATAACGAAAAATCGAAGAATCCTTTGAAAAAGGCCATGCGCCGTCGGAATGCGAAGACCGTCAACTTCGGGGCCCCCACGTACATCGACGCCTCCGACGTCGACTACTCAACGGACGATGATTCCGAACACGGCGACTTCTTCAATGACGACGAGACTCTGGACGGGGAAGAGGAAGATGTGCAAGAGCAAACAGAAGATATTGTTGTGGAACCTCTTAGGCCCAAAGCTCAGAAAGAGAACCCCACAGAGCATGCCGATGCCAACGGTGTGGAGAAACAAGATCCGCAGCGTTCAAGCTCTGATCGACGCCCGTCTAGTGAAGAGTTCTTTGAGGCCGAAGGTAAACGCACTCAACTCAACTGCTCTCGGATCGAATTTGGAACTCACTCTTACATAGTAGAACCCACGGTCAGTAGATCCAGAAATGGCACTGTACGGAACACCGATTCCTTCTTCAAAGACGACACCGCCGAGCCCAAGAAGATTTCTCTCACGCCAAATCTCTTGCGCGATATTCGCGATGAGAACAGCACAAGCACCTTGGCTGAGTGGAAAGAGGTATGTTTTCAATCGTGGGTTTATCTAAAGAACAGTTGGCTGACGTTTCGGTGAAGCCTACTCGTGGAAGCTTTGAATCCATCGAAAAGGGCTCTAGCTCACAGGACAAAATTAAAGAGAAAGAGGAGAAGAAGCGAAAAGACAAGAAACCTGGAATGCTCAGCGGGTTATTCAAGCGCAAGAAGAACAAAGATGACATTGACGACCCAGAGAAGTCTCCTGCAGAGTCGGCATTCCGCACATCACCCCAACCCAAGACCTCGATGGAGTCTATCTCATCAAAGTCTGTGTCCCCCGAACAACAGCGGCCCTCTAAGCCCCAGAAAATATCGAACAACAAGCTACACAAGCAGCCCCCAGGAATCATGAAGGTTGATCCAGTCCTTGACCCTGCGATGGCCGAGTTCGCCAGGGGCAACGAGGCCATTAACCAGAGCCAGGGTAACAGGAGTATTCGACAGGTGCCACTGCAAGAAGAAAGAGAAAGCAGCTACGAAGACTGTGAAATTGTGTTGCAATCGCCTATTAGCCAATCGAGTCCTTCCAAGGATCCCTTTGCTACTCCGCTCGAGTCCATGGACCCCCTGGAGTCGCCTGTTGATCGACCATCTAGTGAAGCTCAATGGAGAGGACCCAATGATCCAGGCCGAACAACGGCTGGACCTGCGTCCGTTACATCTCCCCCCCAGAAATTCGTCCCTAGGCTGGGGGCTAGAGATGAGTCGGAGTCCCCTGTCAATATTTCTCCCGTGGAGGCTTATTCCCCTATGAGCGCACGTGGCTCAACAAATAATGCCTCTCCTCGAGAAGTGCGCTCTATCTCGCCACCGTCTCCACCGTCATCACCCGGGCAGGATGCTAACTACCCCAAGGGTAGCACACCTGCTACTGCCTCACTCGACACCCTTTCTGTAGACACCCCGACGTGGAGCGACTCCAGTCTACGATCATACATGGATGAAGAAAACGACATTCGTGACTTGTTTATTATTGTCCATGACAAATCAAATGTACCTCCCGCTGGCCCTGACCATCCAATCACCGGCCGTCTGTTCAAGGAGGAAAGCAAGAGACTCAAGGAGATGAACAGTCAGCTTGATGACATGCTTGTGAACTGGATGGCACAGCGGACTAACAGCTCGGCCTCGACTCGTGCCATCCAGAGTCCACCTGTATAACCAAGGTGTGTATGAATCTCTCGAAACCAAAACCATGTGTTGATAGATGGTCAACCTTGCATGGCGATCAAGGCCATGTTTTTGAATGTGCTGGGCGCATCACTTTTGGCCGACCTTTATTCTTTCCTTACACCTCTACTTTTTTTTTCTTTTCCGTGTTGTGTCTTGATGCTACTGTTTGGCGCAAATTCTTGTTCTACATTTTTCCATCGCCCCAGAGAGCGATGTGACCCTGAACGTCTAACGGCCAGCTCTATTCACCATGCTTTCCATCTTTTTCTTCAATTTTCACCGGAATACCCCGACTCACCCTCAGTTTTGTTTCTTTCACATCTTGTCATCCAAGGCCAAGCTGGCGTATCTCAATACCACATCAGTTGCCAAACATATTTTCCTAGAAAAATAAAGAAATATTAGAAGGCGCACCCCTCCACTGTATGCAAGCAGGTGATCAATATCTAATTGGAGAGAAGGAGCATTCCGAGGATCCTGCGGAAGATCGCAAGTCGTGCGGGCAGGTCAGCCGCACCATGTATAAGGCCCCACAAGTCATCTGTCAGACATACATAAACCCTTTTCCTGTTTCCTGTTCTTGATGCGACAGCATTTCTGGACGTATTCATCGCATCACCATGGCAGATCCATACAACGCTTACAGCTCACACTCAACGCCTACGCCGAGCGGGGCTGGCTACTATCCCCCAGAGGATCAGTCTCAGTACCCGGCCTATGGCCACCAGCCGCCATATGGAAACCAAGAGCCATATCATAACCCCGGACCACAGCCTTACCAGCCCATTCAAACCCCAAACCAGGCCTACGCTCCACAGCAAAGTTCGTACCATCTCGCGCCCGAGCCATATGGGTCTCCCACGGAGAGAAGCTATACGCCGACAGGGCAGCCAGACTACCTTGGGCCAGTGACTCCGACAGGATACGAACACGCGCAAGACAAAATCCCCGGGAATGCAGGATACTAGTGAGTTGGCAATACATACCCAGCTGTGAGAGCCAACACTAACACCGAGCCCTAGCAACGACCATCCAGCTGGCCAATCACAGTACACACCCTCCGAAAGCCCCCACCGTCCCGCCGTGTATGTATCAGAGCCAGACGATTCACAGCGCGGTGGCATGGGCGAACAACGCTCCGATACAGAAACCGACACTGACCGCGGTATGGACCGTGGGCTTGGGGGCTCGCTCGCTGGTGGTGTTGCGGGCTATTACCTCGGTCATAAGAAGGAACATGGCTTGCTGGGTGCGATTGGTGGTGCTCTACTCGGAAACTTCCTGGAGGACAAGGTGAAGGAGTACAAAAATAAGGACGATGATAGTGAACATGAGCATGGGGATGATCACAGTGATCATCATCACCGTCACCGCCGCCGCCACCATCACCACCACCATGGCCATCGGAGCCATTCAGGGCATTCAGGGCACAGTAGTCATAGCGGGCACTCTCATAGCCGGCACTCTCATAGTTCTCATCATAGCCATTCGAGGCACCGCGATGAGGATGAGTACTGAGTGGAACTCGATTTCGGACAGTGTTTTTTGCCTATGGGTTTCCTTTATCTCCCTTTTTCTTTTATCGTGCTACAATTCTAGCCTTATGGGATTGAATATGGGTTATGTGCTTTCTTTTGCCCAAGACCAGGTATCGGTTGAGAGACAATTCTTATCTTGATGTATTTCTTTTCGTTCATTTCTGCTTACCCAGGAAGTATCTTAATGAGCACATTGTATACTCTCCCATGCAGTCTCCATTTCGACATGTGCGACATGGATCAAGATGATAGTTGATTATCTTTTACCTATTTCCACATACGTAATGAGATAATCAATGTTTAATGTTGATTTGCAAACGAAATACCCAGGTGATCAATCCATGTCCCAGTCCTCCAGGGCTCCTGGTCACGACCTCGTAATTCGTCTTGTGTCACCAGTCAGCTGGAGGGGATAAGAGCTTCGATTCACGCTTACTTGGGTTAAATATGTATCTCCAGGAGATACTTGAAATCGGCGTAATAGCTTCGAGTACGATAATTCTTCCATTTAGTACAGTTTACGCAAGCCTCTTTCTCCCTTTCAATGCCGAATTTGTTCTCTTCTCTTTCGTTTGTTGTTTTGTCCAGTGGTGAAAACAGCCATAGGTATGTCAGAGAGTCCACACCACTAATCTTCATCCAATTCCTCAGTCTCAGCTGCGGAGACACGCCGAGAGACTGGTTTCCGGGCCCGCTTGCGCGGAGGCATCTCGCGACTTTGATCCTCGGAGGGAGCAACATCCTCCGACTGTGTTAAACCAGCAATGAGGATGCCACTTATGCGCTTTCGCAGCTTCGGGCTAAGCTTATCAAGATCATCAGCCACCTCTTCAAGCAATTCTATAGCCCTCCGAAGCTTTTTCTTTACTTGTTCCCTGTTTGGCGCAGGGTTAACGGGTGTGCTCAATGGGCGTTGTATATCAGGCCGCTGTGAGGGAAGGCGAGCAATAAATCTATGTAAGGCCAGTTGCGGCCAACCTGGGCCTCGATTCCATCGCGAGCAAGTATTCGATTTGCCTCGCCTTCTACCATGCCGGGGTTAACAGCAGTATAGGCAGCCTCAAGGGAGACCGTCCACTGATCCAGTTCGTTCTCTTTGAGCAGGATTAAGAACTTTGCCAGATCCGGTGGGAGGGCCGATGCCGACGATTCGTCCGCGAAGTAGATGGTAGGGAATATCAAATTCCCGGGCCAATGCTGCGACTTTTGCTTTATCGCACTCCTGGTGTGCTTTTACGGCATTTGCAAGACGGGTTTCTCTCTCTACGCAGAATTTTAGCCATGGTGGTGGGAGAGGAGGTTTGAATGAGGAATACACATGTACATAATTAATGTTTACTGTGCACGCTGGCTTGGCACTGGTGATTCCTCCTACGTCATACCCACTTGTTCTTCTCTACTTAGGTACGTTCTATATGCATTCTGTTTTATATTGAACCTATAGCTTCTTCTTCCTCTTCTGATGTTCATTCTAGCCTATAGATGCCTATATCGATATGGCCTTGAGATGTGTCATTTCAACTTCCAAGCCCTAGAGGCTCCAAGGGATAAAATCTTGGAGTTTGCATGAAAGATTTGACTAATTAATCTTTAAGATAACCGCGGCATGGCATCGTACAACATAAATGATGTCGGGTGTTACCTAAATGTAGTACCCTGCATTTCCCAGCTGGGAAGTTCGAAGCCCTGATACGCCCATTTATGCTTATCGCATGACTCATCCGATCTGCCCGCGATGAACTCGATAAGGCGGTTCAGCTCTCGTGACACTTCAGAATGACCTCTGGGGGGCTGTTCCTCTCTTCCTGCTTCTGTTCCCTTACTTATATCCCTTTCCAGACTTGCTTACTCTATTAGCTCTATTAGACTTAGAGTACACACCCTCTCCTTATTTACATCGGATTCGCTTATCGCCCTTACCCCATACTTTGATACCCCTACACGAGCCACTACCTGAGGCTCTACTACGCCATATCTACTACTAAAGACACCTCCATCAATAGAGCATGTCTCCTCCGTTATTACAATACCTCCTTGCTGGGTCCCTTCCTGATCACTGTGAACCAACCTCGCCCTTCCTGACCGCCGTCTCCTCGCATCTCCACATCTGCATCCCCACTCCTCTCGCGGCGATCTCTTCCGTTCTTGGGACCCTCAGCATTGTCTCATGGCTCTTCGCACAACTACCCCAGATTTATAAGAACTTCCAAGTGCAATCAACGTCAGGCTTATCGATATTTTTCCTGATAATCTGGTGTCTTGGTGATGCGAGCAACCTCGTTGGAGCGTTGTACACCCGGCAGGCAGGGTGGCAGGTGGTGATTGCCAGTTATTATGTCTTCGTAGACATCACTCTGGTATTCCAGTTCTTCTGGTACACCCATTATAAAGCTCGCCCAAATGATTCGTACAGCAACCTGTCACACTCGCATGGCTCGGCTCCTCGAGAAATCATTCAAGGTGTGCCTCCTCCAGGCCATGAATCGGACCATCAGACCCCAGCTCCCGTAAACATGGACAAGAAGCGTGCCGAGGCCAAAGATATGGGCTTTCAGGCCGGGTCAGTACTCAACTCGACCCATGGGCAACCAGGCTCATACTCAAACGAGAAATTGAGCTCCTCGCGTCGATCCGTGAGGATGAGCAGCAGCGCGCAGAGCCCGCCATTCGCACTGCCCCGGACTATGCTCATGGCATCACTCCTCTGTGCCGTACTCGCCAACGCTGCTCCCACGGAGAAGCCCCATCCACCCATTTCTGAGGTACCGCGGGAGGCTATCTTTGAGATCATCGGCCGCGTATTTTCCTGGATGTCAACAATCCTATATCTCGGCTCGCGCCCTCCACAGCTATACAAGAACTACAAGCGCAAAAGCACCGAAGGCCTCTCCCCATTGCTTTTCATGGCTGCCTTCTGTGGGAATTTGTTCTATTCCAGCTCGTTGCTCACCAACCCGAACGCTTGGTCCGATTTCTCCCCATACGGCGGCGGCGGCTGGGCCGATAACCACGGCAATGACCGTCTAGAATGGATTGGACGTGCTACCCCGTTCTTCCTGGGTGCCTTCGGTGTCTTGGGACTGGATGGGTTCATGGGCGTTCAGTTTCTCATGTATGGCGACGGTCCAGAGCACGAAGATGACGAGAGTTTCATCAGCAGCGATGGGGATGACCCAAAGCGCGGTCGTGGTCGGTGGAGACGTGTTCGCGGCTGGATGCGTGGCTGGATCCCGTCTTCTTCACCTCGGAGGGAATCAGGGGAAGTTTCGGCCCCGCAAGAGGGACAAGCTCTGTTGGGCACAGAGCGCGGCCGATACGGCACTGTCTGATCGTGGCTGTTTATATGCGTCTCTCTTCTTTTTCTTTTGTTTCTTGCCCACGTCTCTTGCGTAGGGCAGGTATGATATATATGATGTGATGACTTCAGAGCTTTATTTCCATCTTTTAGCATTTCCTTTTTCTGTATTTTGTCATTCGGATACACTGTGTGTGATTGGACGCATCAAGCGTTCACCTTCATTCGCTTTCTAGCCGACCTGTTGTGTTTTCTGGGCGTTTTTGGGACTGGATAGCATATATAGGCACTCAGTCTACAAGACCTCGCATTCCTACTGGTTTTTTCTTGTGCAACGCATTAAATTTTATGGCATGTCTTGGGTGTTTTGGTTACCTATGGGCCATAGCGCACTACAAGAATAGACGAGGCTATTGAAAGACCCATTCCATTTTAGGAAAAAAAGTTAGGGTAGCGCCGGGAGATCAAAACGTGGACAGTCCGGCTCCCGCCCTCGCCCCATTGAGTTCCCGTCAATTTCTTCTGGATTTTGTGAAATTCGTGAACATCCTGTAATTTGAGGATTGGGATGTGAGCAATTTGGCATCTAGTAAGAGCCGATTTCCCCAAGAACCTGAGCCAAAGACAGCAGAGACAGCAAGCGATGCCAAGCCCTAAGTGGGAGGACAAGACAAACCTCCAATCTCCCCATTCTTGGCGCTCATTTGATGTCTACCTAATCCCTCAATTAGGTTGGTCAAAGTTATGCAGGAACTAATTGCCGTGTCTCGAATGAGACAATGCTCGCTTCAAATTGCCAGCTTATCCTCCGAGTGGAGTAACGCCACGGGCAATTCCACGCATCTTATTTTCTAAGAGCCCTGGGGAAACTAGGTAAAGATCCAGGCTAAAAGCCCGCGATCTTCTCATTTTGGTTTACTTGCTCATCCATAATTAAATTCTTTTGCCGACCCTTTGTGGTGTTTATTCACCCGTCCATTCGTTTACTAGATTCTATACAAAAATGAAGATTCAAAGCCATTTGATGTGGCTTGCCCACGTTCTTCCGGCGGTTGCACTCACCATCACCGCCCCTGCTCAGACAACTTCCTCTCCAGCCCCGCTCTTGGGTTGTGGTGAGAACTTGATTAAGGATGTGGCTTTTGAGACTATTAAGCTCGATGATAGTTTGTGGACCGTCCTGCCGCCTAACGGTGGTGCCGCTGTCGATGGATACCTGTTCGTATCTACCTAACCATATCTGCAGACCAAAGTTTCTTGCAGAGCAGAACTGACTCGCGGATTGTGATAGGCATTTGAGTGCTGAAGCTATTCAATCGCAGACCTTGTTGACCCAGACAGTCACCGACGCCATTGCAGAAGAGAGTTATATTGTCTCTTTCGATTACCGCCAGACAGCTGGCTCAGTTATTGATAGGACAGCCTGTACCGTGAATCTCATACTCAATGGAGAAGATGTCGGCACTAGTACTCTCACAGCCGGTTCCTGGAAGACCATCTCCAAGCAATGGACAGCTGCTAGCTCAGAAGTCGACATGCTCATCTTAATCGATTGCCCTGATGCAGCGATCTCAGGCACAACAGTGGATTTGAACAATATCTCGTTCAAGAAGAGCTGTGGCTCATCCAGCTCGAGTAGCGCCTCGGTCTCTACCAAGACCCCATCGGGCTTGCCTGTTACTAACAGCACTCCGACCGCTTCTTCTACCTCCTCATCTGGTCATTCTAGCTCCGAGGGATCGGGGTCTTCATCGCACATCTCCCCAGCCTCGCCAAGTATCACCGACCCTATTACCTTGACAATCACTATTACCGGGTCCGCAACCCCCGCCTCCAGCAGCGCCATCGAGTCCACCACGCTGGAAACTCCTACGCCAGATATGACAACCTCTACTGTCTTCACCACCCGCACTGCGACTATCACAGCCTGTCCCTCGACTGTCACCAAGTGCCCAGCCAACGACAAGACAACCCACATTACAACTGAGACTATCCTCGTCTCGATCACCGTCTGCCCTGTTGCAGACGCAACGACTACTATCAAGGGGCCCAGCCCCACCGGCCCATCTGGCAGCGGCAACGGCAACGACCACACTATCTCAACAATCCTCTCAACCAGAACCGTAACCCTAACCCAGTGCCCGGCAACAGTGACCGACTGCCCAGCCCGCGACCAGACAACACATATCACCACGGAGACTGTCGTTGCCGGTACCACTAAGGTCCCCATCAACACCGCCGTGACCACCACGGAACCTGGCGCAGTGCACACATCGCCTGTTGTTGCTGGCACAGGCACCACTACCATTGAAGGAGGTGCTGTCAGTGAGACTGATGCTCCTCATGTTGGCGGAAATGAAAATAGTTCCGGAGTGTCGACGGGTGAAGGTGAAGGTTCTACCGGCTCTGGCTCAAACGTCTCCACTGGTAACAATACCGGCCACCTCTCCAACCTACCCGGCATCACACGCACGCGTATCAGCTCAGCTATACCTTCAAGCCTCACTCGCATCCACTCAGCCACGGTCAAGGCTTCGTCCGCCACAGCCTCTTCTCCTACAGGCGCAGGTGCAGGCGCAGGTTCCGGTTCTACTACCAACAGCAGCCCGACGAGTACGTCACCCGCGTTCAACGGTGCTTCGTCATTCACTGTTTCCAGCGCCGTGTCTGCCCTTGGTGCCATCGCGGCTCTCGCGCTTTTCCTTTGAGCACGTTTCTATTTCCTTGGATATTTTGGATATGGATTATAATGGTTTTCTTTGCATTTTTCTTGAGGATCGAGTCTATAAAGCCATATAATACATTCAGTAAAGTTTCTATGTTTACCTTTACGTAGAAGCTCGATTGGACTTTCCAGGTCCCAACCAAAGAAATGAGCAATCATTCGAGTTCACATAGCCCCATTCAATAGAAGTCTTGTGGCCTTTGCTTTCTTTTTTTGCATTGTTTCACTTTTGCCACATGTTTGGACTTTTTGTAGGTCAATGACATTCCTCTGCTTGTGCAAAAGCTGAAAGTTTATATGCACCTGTCTAATTGGCTGCATCTCAATATTCTCCTCATTGGGGGCTCGTCACAGCCTAGAGGCAATGATGTGAACCCTCCAACCTATGAATCTTGTTTTTTTCCCTATTTTTCTGATCCAGGCATGACCTGCACGCCTGGCATAGCAGCGTAAAGGCTCACCTGGGCATAGTGGAATACCAATCACACTGGCAGACCGGTCACCTATACCTCAGCTACATATGATATCAGCATAAGAACAACCCAAAACGGAAATAGCGAGAAACAAGAAATCATAGACCACGATGATGACAAATGCTATAGTTTTCCAGTGGTCATCGAATCTACTAATCTTGTAAGTACTTGTGTCTTATTCGCCTCCCCCTCAATAAAAAGGAGGGGGGGGGTGCTCGAGTTTTCCGATTTTTCCCTTAGTTTACGGGGTTAAGGGGATTCCTGTTTGGGCTTTTCTTCGAATCATATGGTGCAGCTTGGAAATACGGAGATGTTTCAAAGAAAAAGCTGCCGAAAGTAGCCGGTCGGGCATCGTTGGTATCCAGTTTTTTTTTCTTTTTTACCTTTCTGTAGGTTCAGCTTTATCCATATGGACTGGAATCATCACATAGTGCAAGGTATGTAGGCAGGTACTATATGTATAGGTTGTGGTACCTTGAAAGATTCGGAACGTCGAGAATGGAGCATGGCAAGGCACGAGGTCCGAGAGACTTTGTTTTTCTAGAATTGATTACGCACGGGCTTCGGTGTCTTTAAGTATTTTAAGTATTTAAAGATTAATTTCTAGACCCCCAGAGAAATGAGTTCAATATATGCGGGACTTTTTTTTTTTCGACTCGAAGATGTATGCGCCTTTTAAGCAGATAGGCACATAAATATAGAGGGGGCTGTCGGCGCTTCAGATAAATACCTGTCAAGACACTGTCTTTGCCTCCAGGAGTAAGTACGTGTATGGAGTACTTGCAATTGCAGCATGACGCTACTGCAGGGATCAACATCCAGGTCCTTCTCCGAGGGCGGAGTTTGTCTACGGTGAGTCAGAGCGGTGCCTCTCTACGTGGCCACTTAATCTGTGTCTGACATGTCAGAGGGACCAGAGAATAGAGGGAAATTACGAAGTACTATGTTGTAAATGGAGTTGCTTTCAGATGCATGGTATCGAATGCCCTTGCTTGGTTGTACGGGGTAATGGCTGCGTGTGATCGCAGAGGGATAGTATGGAGTAAATGACCCGGCGACGGCTGTAAGGATGTTGATTATAGTGCCTATAACATACTTTGCAGGTACTCCATACATAGTATAGTTTGTTCATAGGGAGTGGGTACATATGGAAGAGGCCGGATGAGCACTTCTGCATTGTACGGTAGACTGAGCAACGGAAGGAATGCGATGTTTAGTTTTTCTTTTTCTTTTTCAATAGATATAATAAGCCATTTAGCAGATATTTTACTATTTACTGTAACTATTCACAAATCAATCTTTAAAAATGAATTTAAAGCTTACTAAGAGCCCTTAAAACCCTTGGAAGTTGGAGCTTTTTTTAGTGCCAATACAAGAGAACCAGTGACACGGGCGTTGCATCACCGGATTTGCTTTAGGGGTCTAGGGCCATTTTTAATATATTACAATACAATTACACTGTGCACGTTCTAAACTGGGAATACCGGTTGGATGATCAAAAAGGAAAAAAAAAGAAGAAAAAGCAAAAAGGCAGAGGCAAAAAAAAGGAAACCCAATCAGAATAGAATATAATGTCCAATGCTTCAATCATTAATCTCCCTCTTTATATAGGTAGCCTAATTTATAGTGTGTAGTGTGCGTGTAACTTTTTAAATTTAGAATTTCCTGTGACTCCCTGTATACCAAATACATGTAAAATTACCGGGGCAACCCAACGGTTCTTTTCCCACACAACGCCCCCCTATACACTTTTCTTCTCTTCATCCTTCTTCTCAACCTCTTTTTTTGTATCAATCTCCCCGTGTCAACGAGCTTTTCACTAAGTGTCGTTGATCACCTCATTCTGTGAGGTTTGCGTCTACGTGGAAATCTTTTTTTTTCCACTCTTCGTTCCCCGAGCGCGTTCAGTTCACCCTGCTACGTAGGCTCTTCCACTTCGCTTCGACCTGGTTATTCGCCTCTCAAGCACTTTGAATTGACTGGACTGTGATCTATCACCTTCCCTCCTAGGCGTCATTTCGACACCCCCAAACGAGGACTGTGGCTTCACCGTTCATCACGTTCCTTCCAATTCTCATTTACCCGTCATTTGTCCCTTGGATCATTGAACGAACCTCGATGTCATTCAACTAGAGGCTGCCCCTAGGAATACGATAGAGCGACCCGCTCACCGAGCACCGCTCTTCTCTCCCCCCCAGAATCAGGATCTGGTGGAGTAGACGGTTCGTATCCTTATTTTCTTCAACTCTTGTCTCTCGGTCCATCTGGCTTTTTGCCTACCCCGGAGGCCTTGTGTACTGATTCCTCGCTTTCCCTGGCAACAGAATACGTCTAGCTCCCCGTCCTGAACTGGCAACCTCCCCTCCCCTCAAGATGCCGTCCTTCTTCGTCCCAGGTCACCATGGCCTGCCCACGCCTCCCCATGTCAACGGTGGTCGTATGGAAGACCCATCATTCTACCCGGTTGGTCACGCAGGATTTCCTCCTCGTTACCACCAAAGCGGCAATGAGTTCATCGAACAGTACTCGCAGTCTCTGTGCTACGTCAAACCCACTTCGATGAATCACCACCAGTCCGCCCACCCGATGAGCACTGCTCGCGATCATCACATGATGAACCAGCAGCCCATGTTCAACCCCATGGTTGGCACTGGATTGCCCTCAATCCGCAGCAACGTCCAACTTCCGCCCATGGATGCTACGATCCCGCCTCAATATCGCCGACAAGAAGCGCCGATGCAACAGCAGCCCGAACAACCCCGCAAGGAAGAGAAGGCTACTGGAGGTGTCGCAGCTCACCTGGATTATGAGATGGATCGCATGTCCGACTTTGTGGCAGAGATGGCTCAGGGAATGTATGATTTGTTCGAGACCAACATCACCATTGCAGATATTGACCTCGTCCGAAGCATCTACCCAGGATCTTCGGTTCCCCCCCAGTTTCGGAAATACGTCTTTCAGATTTTGTCCTCGACACGCCTCCCGAGTTCGACCATTCTGCTCGGTCTCTTTTACCTGGCCAGCCGCATGCGCCTGTTGTCAGCCCAACGCGCCTTCACCAAGACAGACAGTAGCCAGGTCTATCGCATGTTGACCGTGGCACTTCTGTTGGGCAGCAAGTTCCTTGATGACAACACCTTCCAGAACAAATCCTGGGCTGAGGTCAGCAACATCCCCGTTGCTGAGTTGAACCACATGGAATTGGAATGGCTCTTTGCCTTCGACTGGAAGATTCACGACCGCATCTACGACAAGCAGGATGGTTTCGCCTCGTGGCGCGCGCACTGGGATACCTGGCGGGCCAAGGCAACGGCTCGGGCCCAGGAGTCTCGCCAGACTCTGGCGCCTCTCGAGACCAACGTGGTCCGCGGCCAGGGTGTCACTAAGCCCCTTATGTCCCCCGAAGGCCCCATCCCGCCGCAGTACCAGCGCAGCTCGCAAATTGAGAACTCCTGGCTCAACCCGACCGCATCCGAATACTCGCCTCCCTCTACCCTTTCCAGTGGCCCCACTACCCCCGATTACTACTCGGTTGGCCCTTGGGGATACGCTAACCCGCCTCCGCCTCCGCCCTACTCGCGAGGCTGGAACGCACCTTCACAGTACATGGCTCACCCCGCACCTCGATCCCAGCCCCCATCGTATCACCACACTCCGGCGTACGGCTTGCCATTCGCACAGAGTCTCTGGACGGGTCATGGTTCCTCGTGTGGCTGCACCTACTGTGCCAAGCATCTCGAACACTACATGTGCCACAATGCATTCCCCTCCATGCAGCAACCGATGATCGCCACCTAGTTGACGATACTTGGCCTGTTCTGCCCACGACCCCCGGATGGAACAGACGGTGTAACTGGTTCAAGACGACAGGTCTTGCTGCCTCTTTGGATTTCTTCTTACTGCAACTCTAGACTTCTTTCAACGTTTGTTTGGGCGACTCGCATGGGATTTATTTCGATACCGTTCCCTCTTCTGCTTGAATTATTTCCAACCTTGAGCCTTTCGACCTTTTGCCTCACTTAGCTTTCACCTGGTTCCGAGCAATTGGCCTACCGCGTCTCCAAAAAAAGTACTTTTGTTCTGCGTCCGCTGGTTCTCGTTTGGCAACGCGAAAAAAAATCTCAAAAAATGGAAAAAAAAGAGGAAAAAAAGCTCCCACAGCGGACATTGGCATGCTCCCGGCAAGCCCGCGATGCAAAATCTCGACAACTTGTGATACTGATATCACTTTGATTTCACCAAGACTTGCAGTCTCATCGTCGGGTCTTACATCTTTCCAAAAGTTGCCGGGGCCGCAGTCACGACTATCACGAATCCCCAAAATCTGACTTCTTTGTTTATTACCCACGACTTCGGTTTATATCCTTGGTCCTTTTGTTTTATGCTTGGCATTTGTGTCTCGCGGTGATTACCCATAGAGTGCTTTCTTCTTTTTACTTTCATTTCATCTCGGTACATTATTCCCATTCGCCACGCTACATGCAGTGCCTGACGTTAATCATTTTTTTCACTTCTCATCTCAATTTTCAATTGTCCATTCACTTTTTTTTTTTTTTCTCTCTCGATTCCTTCGATTTGTTTTTTTATCTTTCTCTGGCGAGCCTTCTCCAATCAATAAGATCAACAATTCAAGGATCCCCACCAACCTCTCTAAGCTGGATGATGTATTTCATCACTTCCACATCTCTCTCACTCCTCTCACTTGTGACAGATGGCAAACGATTGATCTTGGGTTCCCTTTCCCCCCGTGTCATGTTTGCATGTATCCGGGCGGGTGTGGGTACCTTGAATTCTTCTTCTATCTGATCTCATTCTGAGAGTCCAGTCAGTCCTCGCGACTGACATCTATGTAGTCTACATGATTTGTCTTCTCTTTTGGCTTGCTTCCATATATGTGCCCTTTGCTATTCGGCGCTGCCGGCAAGGCAAGGCCGTCGCATTTTCTGTCTCCATTGGTTATGCGTTGACCTGGCTCCTGGCGTCCGTGTCTGTGGCTATGGCTATACCTGTAACTGTTGATGTGCAGTTTTTTTGAAGATATCTTATTTAATTAGCGACAAACTATTATCTTTGTCCGGACTACAAACTTTTGGTGTTTGGTCGTAGGACTTATCTCAATATCTACCTCTTATCTTGAATTTGAGTAGTGAGCCTTTGCTCTCCGTCCGCTTGTACTCGCTAGATTAACCTCTGGGGCTACGTGAAGGTTCCTTTTGGATAATGTTTAATGCACTAAGAGTCAGATCTCGTAATTATTTTTGTGGTAGAATTTGATTATAATCTAACACCAAAAAGAGCTATCAGACTGAAAGAAGATATAGGGAAAAATGCAGTTGTACTAACTAGTGGGTAATCACAATTCATCCAGACAGTCGTTGCGGGTCGTAAGGGTAGATATAGAGAAGGAGACAAGAAATAGTAAAGGAGAAGAAATATGCAGACGTATGAAGCAGTCAAGGAAGCAGCGAAAACAACCAGAACAGTATTAGTAGACGCTCCCTTGAATGCCCTGATCATGCTTTTGTTGCTCTTCTAAGGATAATTCCTCGATGTGGAGATGAGATGGGGAATCCGTTGACGAACTCTCTGGTCTTTGCGCCTGTGATTCTGAGTGGCTGGACGACTCATCTCCATCGCCTAGGATATTGGCCATGCGGTGCTCAGATTGGTCGGTGGAAGAAGAAAGATGGTGTTGATGATAGTGGTGATGGTGATGGTGTAGGCGAGTCTTCTTCAATTTCTCGGTGCGATTGCCACTCATCTCGTCGTCGCCATCATCTTCGAGCTCCTGAGAGGGAGATGGCCGTTGGGTTTGCTCGCTGGACGGGAATTCGAAGTGCTGCTGGTTCGAATGGGACAAATTGTCAGTGGCGAGGTTGGGAGAGGTTAATGCAGCGTGGCGGTGGTGATCGTGATCGTCGCCTTCGTCGTCGGATGGAGCGAGGCTGTTTGCTCCGCTCATGGAGCCTCCGCCGTCACGGCCGCCGAGGTGGAGGAGGGCGTACTTTAGGTGCGCTGATGCTGAAGATGTGGCTGTTGGTTGGTGGAGGAGATGATCTTCGCTATTTCGTTTCAGTCCGTGGAAGTTCGGTCGTTTTGGATTCAATGGATTCACGGTTGGCCGGGCTTCTGAGGCAGATTCGTATTGCTTCGTGGTGTCTCCGTTGTCATCGTGGCCAAGTGTGTGCTGCGGGTTGGAGACATGCCGAGCGCTGGCTTTGCGGCTGGTGTCATTCTGGACCACACTGTCTTCTGAGGACGATATCACCTCGTCGATAGATATAGATTTGTGAAGTTTGGAGCCAAAAGTGCCTGCATGGTCATCTGCGTGCTTTGCTTGAGCATAACCATGCTCGTGACGCATCAGTAGATTTGCTCGCAACGATTGCTTTCCTTCTGCAGTCATGCCGTGAGTACAGCCGTCGGGACAGCCCCCCACTTGCGCCGAATGGGGATATGGTCTGTGATGCCGACTTGACCAGCAGACGGGATAGGCGCAGGGACCTCCTCTTTGGCTGCATTTTCAATCTCTCGATCTTTTCGGAGATCTGACCAGGTGCGAAGCTTGTTTTGTAGTGTGTATTTGCCATTTTCTGGGTTGTGAGTCAAGATAAGGAACTCGCAATGATTGATGTTGCGAAGATCCTCAAAGTATTCCACGCTCCAATGATACCACTTCATGAGAAATACTCTTGCCATGAGGCCGTGCGTAACAAGAACACAGACGTTTGCAAAGTCATCCTCGCCGAACTGGCGCCAGAGGGACTCGTTAAACCCACTCACTCGATCATATGCATCTGCTGCGGACTCGCCATTGGGAATCCGGTAGAAGAAATGACCGTAATCTGCCCGCTCCATCCACATGCGCTCCATCTCTGTGGAACATGGCTGAAAATTACCGAAATCTTGTTCCCGCAGCCGGGGTTCTTCATAAACTTTGATTGTGTGTCTTGAGAAAGGCGAAGGAGAGGGTGTATCGGAAGTTAGGGATTCAATGATTCCCTCGGTAGTCTCTCTTGTCCGCCGATATGGAGAGGTAAAAAAGTGAAGTTTGTCGTCTGGTTGGAGAAGGTCACGCAGTCGATGGCCTGCATCTTGGGCTTGTCGATATCCTTCAGGAGTGAGTTTCACACGGTGGTCTGGAATAGTTTGATGAATGTCGCGGTTTTTGTTGCCTTCTGACTGTGCATGGCGCACTAGAATGATCATCTATAAGTAGGAAATGGTCAGTTCAAGTCAAGAGACATCCCAATCTCTCTAAAATGGAAGACTCACCCGTGGCTTCCCCATGGTGGAAGGGTCATGGGGAATGTAATGGGCTGCGAATGCGGGGGAGGGGCTAGTAGAGGGATTCTATTTGCAGCAAGAAGAAAGATGAGAGAAAGACCAAAAAAATGAAAAGAGCAGTGATGACCGAAATATCAATCTATCTAAAGAAAAACAGATTGGAAGAGAGAAATCAAAAAGAAAAACTTCATTCCAGTCGGAGATACAACTGACCCGCACGGGCCAACGGCGGGTGATCCATTCAGCGCGCCTCTTTTACGCAACTTCCGAATAGCATCAACTCGACATGGCCGACTTGCTGGAGCTACTCGCTCCACATCTAGATCCAACCCAATCGCATGATTTAACTACCGACAAATATCTCACTCGCCTCTCAACCTTGTCACTCGAAGCTCTCCAAACCACAGAACCCCCATCGCTCGCCCAATCCTCCCACTCGACCCTTCTGTCCCTTCAAGCCCTATCGAACCGTTCGCATCGGGCATTTGTCACCTCTGCAGATAATCTGTCCACGCTATGTACATCTGTTCCACAGTTGACCCGCGAGGCGCAACAGCTACGCGATGCTATCCCTAAACTCGACGAGGAGGCCGTCGGGTTCTCCACCAAATACAGTAAAATCACAGACAATGCTGCCCTAGAACGACGGAAGAAAGCGATGCAGCTCTCTCGCAATGTGGACCGATTGTCAGATATCTTGGAACTACCAAGTCTGCTGTCCAAAGCCGTCTCCGCGGCCTCAGTCAACTCCGGTACCGGTGTCTCCTCTACAACCTACTCCTCTGCACTCGACCTACATGCACATATCAAGCGACTACAAACATTATACCCCGAATCACCATTGATTCAAGATGTTGCGTCCCAGGCGGAGGATGCTATGAAGGACATGACAAGTAACCTGATCACGGGGCTCCGAGCCCAGAACCTGCGGCTAGCAGCTGGTATCCGAACTGTGGGTTGGCTGCGGCGAGTAGCCCCGGATTTAGAGATGCTTCAGAGTGATGGGGCAGTGGGAACAGGAGAAGGCGCTCTTGGGGCCATCTTCCTAGTCTGCAGACTAGCGCATTTGGTATCGACTCTTGAAGCTCTAGATCCCCTCCGAGAGCTCGCAGACCAAGAAACCCAACGGAGACTCAATGGCAAAGACAAATCAGACACGACTGCGTGGTCTGGCGGTCAGCAGACTGACCGCTACTTAAAAAGATACATTGAGATCTTCCGTGAGCAGAGCTTTGCGATTGTCTCACTATATAAGAACATTTTTAACTCCGAGCAATCTGAATCTGAATTTGCCATCTCAGGATTACGAGGTGCAGAGGCCCATTCCAAGGCCAAGTCAAAGCCAGCACACTCAGATGACCCTTTGCAACGTCTACCTCCGGCCTTGGCTACTTTCCCAATGCATCTCGTGCAATTGCTCACGGACACAATGCGCTCTTATCTGCCCAATGTCCGAGATCGGAGTTCGAGGGAAAGTCTTCTCACCCAGCTTCTGTACTGTGCCGCAAGTCTTGGTCGTCTCGGTGGTGACTTTGGCATGATTTTGACTGAGCTGAGCGGGGAGGAAGACAGCGAAGATATGATCTACGAATGGGAGGAGGTCATGCGGAAACATCGAGCCTTGGCAGGGCGTCTGGAACAATTGACCAGTCGGGTGCCGGTAAATTAACATTCATATACCCAAGAAGTACAACCCCATTTCGAGATGACGGTGGCACCTGGCAGGGTCTGTGTATAATAGAACATTACGAAGCGCTCTCATTTTCTCAACCTTCTCGGCGGACTGTTTAATTGACACCCACATACAAATGCATCCAGATATTGTATACCCCATTTGCCCCAAGATTCCAGCCATGCTAGCAATACTTTATCGCCGAGTTGCCTGGACACGTTACGGTGCTCCAGCCCAGTGCATGCGCAGAGGGCGGAGTGACATAGATGAGCTTCTCGAACCCTTGATTCTGATATTTTACAGCATACCCAAGCAGAGATCTGAAAAGAACAGTGACTCGAACACCGTTGGAGCACTCGGCAATGGACGACAAGGAACCACAGCAATCTATGGGTTTCTATGCTCTGCTATCTGGAGTCCAGCGCATTCGTATGCTCTACTGCTTGTCTTTGCATTCCTAATATCCACTTCCTGTGGGACGTTCTCGGTCACTATCACCGCTGTGATGGTAGAGGTGGATCTGAACCGCTGCCTTCGAACTTTGCGCCGATTTGTCTTGCTCTGGTTATTCCCACCGCTGATGCGTAGGCTATCGCTCATTCTAACTACCACCTCCAGGTAGGTGATTACACAGGTGTATGTGGTATGTGTGTCCATCTGTAGCGCAGTTCTTTGTTGATATAGCAGCCATGGACGATTTCCGAGCTCTGGATGAACCGAGCTCCGAATGAAAGCGCCGTGACATGAGGGCGATGGTATTTTTCGTGCTTTGCATGCCGTTCAGGTCACTTCGTGTGGGTTCCAGAGGTAGAACAACAAAGGGTCAGTAATTAGTCAAGAGTTGGTAGGAACAAAATTGTCTCCATATCTACAGACACAGGGTGACATCGAGGTAACTGTAGTCTTGCCTACAATTGGTTAGCGCCTGCCTCATTTGCCGAGTGACTCACAAAGATCTTAGGAGCCTTGAACAGTCACTGAAATACAAGCCTATATAAAGTGAACATTGGAATTAGTATAACTTGAGTTTTTTATAATTGGTTTGGGGTTTACTCGTCAAAATGGTACACTATAACCCGCTCACCAAAGAGCCCTATCTCCAACTCCCAGCACCATGTGCAAACATCATCATCACCCCACACCGTGAACACCAGATCGAGGAGACATCTGCTGTGATGACCGAAATTCTGAATGATTCACGCGTGTACCATTGGCTACAAGGACCGCCTTACCCGTTCCTGCCTGAGCACGGCGTAGACTGGGTCAAAATGAAAATAGCAGAATACAAAGATATCCTGTCTACTCTGCAGAAAGAACTCGAAACCCCAGAAAGCCAATTGCAGGAGGATAGTTCAAATGGCCAAGAGCAACCAGTGTTCTTTGATAAATGCCCTTTCGTTTGCATACGCGAAGTAACAGAAAGGGATCCTACGACAGGCGCTCCGCTTCAAGATGTCATGATCGGAGACTTTACACTGGCGCGGTATGCTTTCTATGAGTTGCGACCCGATAGCTGGGAGCTTGCGCTGTTGCAGAAGTATAATAATGATTTGCCTGCGGGGCACAAGGATATCATCTGGGGTATAGGATGTATGGACACCCCAACAGGACTCAAGGTCAATTACTAACAATATTGATAGACTACCTTTCTCCAACTCAACACAGCCGAGGACTTATGAGTGCTGCTGTTCGAACTGTCATTCAAGACTGGGCTATCCCTCGGATGAACCTTCATCGTCTTAAAGGTAGCTTTTATGTTGGAAACATAGGAAGTATGAGAGTATTTGAGAAGAACAACTTTGTGGAGGCTGGTATCTTCAAGGATTGGGCTCCGGCAACTCCACACAAGGGACGAGGAACGATGTCGGTTGCTGTGGTGGAGTGGAAGGGGCCTTTATAGGGACTATCAAGCAATATCGGTGCTTAGGAAAGGTTGCTTAAGCCTCACTTGGACTGTTGTTCTATCTTGAAATTGCTAAGTAGTACGTAGTATTCCGTACTACTTAGTATATATGTTGTACCAATGCCAACTTCACAGGTAGGACGGAAACCCCCGAATCTTGCAGTTTCAATCAATAGTTTTAAGATCTTGCCGATCTTAATATCACGCAGGCACAAACCTACATCAGTGGAGAAAATAAGTGGCCCTATAGCGGGTCTAGAGAATACATAATCCGTGCACTTCAACAGAACACGGGACACTAGTACGGAGTATGGAGTACATAATCGCTCATGAGAGCCCTAGAGCCCTAACTAGAGCTCTGGAGAGAAAGCACCGTAGTCCGCATAGGCAAATTGACACATCGAGTTGATGAGTGATCCTCATAACACTTTCCTAGTTAGTTGAGCCAAGACAAATAACCAAACTCGGAAAAGCTGAATCTATTCAGCTCTAGAGAATTGTAGATTTTTACGCGACTGGATCCACTCTACAATAATTGGCCAAGTTCGACTTGGATCTCAGCTTTCAGCTTGGAGAAAATAATATTCTGCACGTCTGGCAAGTGGTTGGGTCTTGAATCTCACGACGAGATTCATGCCCTATCACCTGCATGTCAGATGCATGTTTGATGCACCTACGGAATAGCTTTCGAACTATTATTAATTGCTTTATATATTACCCCTCTAGTCTCCTTACTCGGTTTAAAATCGAATTGGCCCATTAGCCATTTGAAATATGGACAAATAAACCGACCCAATGATTTCTGTGCTTAATACGAGCTCAGCTACTCCGTACACAACTTTAAGTGCCCCATATTTCTCGGGTTCTTTAATATAGTTACCAGAGTGAATATGCAATGATTGTATTTAAATGTGCCTACGGAGTACTCCATAGATCGATCATTCTGAGCTCAAATTATCAATAAATCGACCTTTCATCACACAACCTTCACTTCCATCTTAGCCACTCAACATATTGTAGGCCGTTCCATTCGACCTTTCAAGTACTACTCTGTAGGGAGTACTTCGTACCACCCCGTGAGTCGGACTTTCCACAAATGTCAGCCTACAAATAGGGTAATGATAGAGCAGAGTAATAAGGCGAGGGATACCGGATGCCGATTGGAACGAAGCGAGCCCAAAGAGGCGCGTGGCTAACCCTCTAGAGAAGAAACCGCAGGGCAGGACCCATCTGCTTGTATAGCTTACGTGCATGAATTGAATAGCGCTGTAGATCGCGAGATTGGAAGGCCAATCCTCCTTGGCACTTTCAAGTATATTAATATATAAATGGGTCTGTCTCCTCTCTTCGGTCAACTCACAGACAGAGCTCACCAGGACACATTTAATATTCACCATGCATCTCCCAACTATAAGTGCGCTTCTTTTAGTTGCTCTAGCAGAGGCCGCGCCCTATGTCACTCCTAACGGGTATCGCCCAAAGAAGGTCAGTAGTCCTGAGACTCCCCCCTTTTTTTATATCTAGGTTGTATAAGTTTCAATGCTCATACTTCTTAGGAGCCGGATTACCCCAAAAGATGTTACCCCGATCCCTGTAAAGGAGTGACCTACGTCAACTCTACTGCTATTTGCGGTGACCCACGACTTGGTCCAAAGGACCTTCCTGCATTCTTCCCTCTCTCCAACCAGCTCGCGACGTACGCCCGCTTCGGCGAGCTCTGCCCAATCGAGTTCCTAGAGAAATGGACCGTGAACGCTTCCGATCCAAAGAGTTACTGGATCTATCCAGAAAGCGACGGATTCGCCCTCACAACCGAGGATGAGTCTATTCTGGGGAATACCACACTCCAAGTGGGTCAGAAGCTTGATAGATTCGGGTCTGAATATGGAAAGTTCCTGGCACCTCTTGGAGCTCCATATATCGAGCGATCACTGCCACCATCCAATCTTTTCGCGCCGCCCAAAAGCAGCTTCCCGTACAACTACCATGTCTACGAAGTGACCAAGGAATTCGATATTCTCTTGGGACCAATTGCGCCTTGGTTTGAGCAGCCCGGCTTTGGATCGCAGCTTTTGGCCAAGTCCAGTGTGATGGATTTGTTGGCAGGGGGATTCTTGAAAAGACTGGAATTGCAAGATTATGATGAAGCTGATGAATACTCTGCGGGTTATCTGCCTGCTCCTCCCAAGCAGTCTTCCACCTAAGTATGTCTTGAGGATATATGTCACGGAGCAAGATGGGGGATTGTTTTCGGGGCACTGAGTTCTCTTTCTTGCAGTATATCCTAGTTATATTTTTAATAGCCAACTGCAGCGCCACTAATAGCATTTAAGCATTCATGCCCTACGACTCTACGAAGAAACAGAGTTAACTAAAGGTCTATAGTTCTAAAATGAAACGGAAAGGGTTCTTGGCTTTATCAAAAGCAGGGGAACAAAGCGAGATTAGGGTAAAATGATCAAATACGATTAAAGGGTTTCAAACATATTCTAGACGCCTAGCTTCCAGTATCAGAATGGTATAGCATTACTGATCTTCTGGTTTAGCTTGACAGGGTATCCCAGCATGCTGTTTTTTGTTAGTCTGGATATCAAGAAGCAGGACAGCAGGACATACTCCTTTCCAGTTTGAGTGCAGCCGCAACCGCAGAAGATCGATAGGGGGTAGCAGAAGATCTAAAGAAAAAGATTCTCATGAGCCTGGAGCCAAGCAGGAGAGTCTTCATACTGTCATTTGAGCAGGACTATATATACTTACCGCTGCCACAATAGTAGTGAAGAACCCTGTTCATTTCATCAGACATGGGCTCCTCTCTCGGCGATCATACAGAAGAACCGAACTTACCGAGTGTCGGGCCAACCACCTTACAGTGGCATGGGTTCTGATCAGTGTTGCATTGGAAGCAGATCGGGAAGATGGGAAAGAAAGGCATGTCACACATCGTATCTGATTTGGTTGAGCTGGGTGTTGGACTAGAATTTGTAAAGAAATTCCCCGGCCTTCATCCAGCCGGATTATCAAGAAAAGAGCTTCCCCGGATGGAGAATTCACCGCCCAGTTACGTCGTAGTCGTGAGAGATTCTATAATGATGACGCAGATGAGATCGTGATCCACCGATCGTCCTGCTTTAGGTAGTAGTGGGGAGTTTAAGCTCATGTGTATAAAAAGTGATCTTCATGATAACAAAGATAACATTTGTATATCACACCCCTCTAAATCAGATTAAGTCTATAGATCTTCAACTTCGGGGTCTTTCAGGCTAAAATTAACCTCAAAAGCCCCCCGGGGACCGGGCCGGGGCGCTATCAAAAATTACTCAGCAAGTGGCTCAGCCCTGGAGAAGCCACGACACAGCCACGAGCCATTTCCCCTCGAATCAAACGTCACACTCAACTCTAGGGGAACTGTTGAAACGTCTTAGGGCCCCTGACTCTCAAGTCTCATATTCAGCCACCGCTGGAATTTCAACAGCATTCCTGTGCACCCGATCCACTCCAGGCAACAGTGCCTAGAAAAGACCAGGCTCCAACTAATTTGCGACAAGACACCTTGTTCTTGGCATCTAGTCCATTGTTTTTTCCCCTGTGCCATTTTCTTTTCTTGATTCCACCCCTAGTCTTCGGATCATCGTCTCGCCTTCCCCAAATTTGAACATCCCGATTCAATAGACTTATACCCTCCGGTATCCCGATAAACAAAACCCCACCATGGGCGCCCGCAGTCTCGTCCCCCTCGTCCTGCTCCTCATCTTCGTTGGTATCATTGCCGCGGTCGGATTTGTCGTCTACAGCATCATGCAGGATGTAGGCAAAAACACGCGCGAAAAGATGGAGCGCAAGAATATTGCTTTCACCAAGGACGGCATGAAAGTGCAAGTAAGGGAGGTCAAAGATGAAGCCTATAAGGATCAGACCCAGAGGTGCGTATTGTGTTCTTCTTTTCCCCTTGCTTATTCGCGCCGACTGACCCGATCTTTTCCCCATAGCGTCCTGTACAACATGTGGAACCACACTTCCTTCCCCGCCTACAAGAGCCGGCTCTGGGATATGGCTGGCTCTTCTTCGTCAGAGCCAAAGAGTGGTGCCGAGAAGCGCAAGTAGTATGTCGCACCTGCGTCCTTTTTGATTATTCCGGCTCGACCGGACTGACTCGTTCTACAGGTTTTGCAACAATTCTTCGGTCGCGGGTTTACACTGGACATATTTTCTCCTTCTATCCCCACTCCATCTACAAGTTTCATTGCATGCTCTAGTCCCTGGAAAAGGGCTGGTCCCCCAAAATTGCGTGCATTCTGGCTTTGAGGGATGAACTTCTTTGACATTTCCACATTCTTGTTCATACCTATTTCTGATTTTTTTTTATGGTCTCGGCAAAGGCTTCATGAATGATGGCAGGCCCTGATATATGATATTTTCCATTTCAATCTTGCGATCACTATGCATCGTACATCCAGATTTTTTTCCTTAAATCAATACGGGGTTCTAATCTCAATTTTGCTTTGAGATCGCCTGGTTTAAGTTGTTCAGTGTACTGCACAATGACATATTAAGCAACGAGTAGGTGTCAATTGACTGGATTGAATTCTCATGGCCCTGGAAATAAATGTAAAAAGTATTGTTCCAATCCATCGAACTGATACTGATTTCATAGAACGGCAGATCCGCATTTCTAGCCGGAGATCGGAAGGACCATGTCTCGGTCTCCCACCATAGTTGCCTTATCAATATAGCAACTCTCCATCTTCATCCTCTATGCCTTAGCCTTAGCCTGGGCCTGGCGACGTGCATAGTAGCTCTCATCCTGATTCAAAAGGAAGAATGGTTCCGGTTCCGGCTGCCCACTACCACCATACCAGGTCGGCTTGACCAACGTCTTGGGCGTATCATCTCGTCGCTTGTTGGTGAAAGCCATTTCGAAAGTCTTGGCCCACTGAACCCTGTTGTTCAAGCCCTCAAGCCCCCACAGCTCCTGCAGGAAATGCAAGATTGAGCTATGG